TCGATCAAGGAAGGTGTCATCATCACTGTCATAAAAATCCTCATCTTCCCAATTCTTTGACTTCCTTTTTCGAGATACTGGGAAAAGTTTAAGGGAGAAAGCAAGGAACAAAATGATTTACAGGCCACTGAGAAGTCAAAGAAATTCAGTAGAGCAATCTTGAATTCCTAGAGCTTCAGGTTTTTTTAGAACTAGCTCAGCACTTAACAGGTTATTTACCTGCTTCTTGCCTCAATACTCCCCTAGCATCCAGTAGCCTGCAAGCTTCCAGTGCACACTGGATCATTGCTTCTTTCTTCTTTCCTGAATGGAGAACCTCTGCTACCAGCTGCTTCCCTGATGCATCGTCCACAGGCAACCTGTTCAGTTCAAAGGATTACAGAACAGCTTCAACAGAAACAGCTTTTCATGGATGCTACTCACATATTGTGCTTGTCATGCTGACATTGTTTCTTCCACCTCTCTATAGCCTTCTTTTGTGGGTTACCTATTTTTACATTTCATCTGATACACTACTAACCCAAACACAAGCACGCACTTTCTAAGCTTAAGTAGATCTTTATTTTGCTAGCCCAAACAAGAAATCTTCCTCCATTCACATTCATCTTGTATCTACACAACACCAGTAACAAATACTCTGTGCCATACTGAAGCAAAGCTTCCTTAAGAAATGATGAGATGGTGTGCCTGCTATTTGAGACCTATCCTGCTTACTTCTCACCTGCTCACCTTCTCCTGCTTAGCAAGAGAATGATGTTACTGGCCAGTGGAAGGGATTCAACAAAAACTACATTATACCATCACATAACTGAACTGGGGTGCATAGTAGAATAAAAGCTTTTTTCCATCTTCTTTTCCATTAGGAATTAAAACACTGCTTCCTAGTTTCTTGTCTTGCATTTCAATTTCACATATTTCTGAAAACAAGGGGAACTGAGAGAACCTGCAGTCATGTTTTCCCAATTTTGATCTTTTAGTAGCATTAAATGCTGACAGATCAGGAAAAAGTAGTAGACACTAAAGTAGATGCTGATCCTTGACCTTTTTAGTATCAGGACTTAAGTCTAATTCTGGCTGGCTTCCTTGGCAAGCATGATAGACAAGTAGTTCCTTCAGTTTTTGTTTGTAAATTCAATGAAGCCAGTTTCTACGTACAAAAGTGAATGAAGTTATACATACTTAACCCTGCATAGCCAGCTATTGTGCCCACGATCATCATATTCGTATTCTAACTCTTCTCCTGGAGAGGAAAAAATGAAAGTTGATGTAGTTAGCAAAGATGAAGTAAGAAGGAATAAACTTTAGAGCAGAGAAAATTTGCCTTTTTCTTTTCTTTTTTTCTTTTTTTTCTTTTTTCTTTTTTTAGGCCATGTGATCTTCAGTTGATAGTAAGCTCATTTGGACATTTTTCACAATCAAGGATCTTTAAGTGATCTGTTTGGTAGAACACAGATCAAAGAAAAAAAGAATCTTGCACCTGCAGGCACAGAAGTAAATAATACTGGAGCAACAACAGCTTGCATTTTGGGTTTACAAATATTGTTTCCCTTGAAGATTAATTTCTCATGTTAAAAAGTACCTAAGCCATTGGTAAGCTTAAATCCATTCACTGTCTTTCAATACTTTCCAGTTCTATCTCCTGAATAGCACCATCTGGAATTTAATGGTTTGGGACTTTTCAATAGTTTCAAAAGATGGATGTGATTTGAGTGCCACTCCAGAGAAACACAAGGTGCTCTCTGCAACTTCCAGTTGAGAAGTTAGAAATCAAAAAACACCAAAACCTTGACAAAACAAAAAGCCCTGCCCACAATGTAAAGTTTTACTTTCACACTTTAATTCCCAGAGAAAAATGGGAAACACCCAACTCTACTAAACAAAAATAATCTACAAGTAAAAAATACCTTCTCTGTCAAAAAAGCCCTGCAGAGCCTTCCTGGGATCCTTCATATAGAAGGCATCTTGTACATCCTGAAATTCAATAGCAATAGGATTTTCTTCAGCCTCATCCTCCTCAGCATCCTCCCCTGGATGAGCAACATACAAAATAAAAACAAAATGGTGAAAAGTTAGAATGAGAACACCAAATAGTTTCAAATATTGTCATTTTGAAAGAAGTATCAGCTATATCATCCTACAATGACAAGCTTTAGCTGTTTCTGTATCCAATCAAAAAATACTTATTAGTTATTCTGTTTTAAGATACAGTTTTGCACGTCAGTGCTGTTTCTGCACTTTCAAGGGTTTATGTGCTTACACATTTTAAGTCACAAAACAATCCATTTTGTACTGAAAAGCTCATTAATAACTATTTAACATATGGACTTCATATTAAAAACCTGAATCACAGAATCACAGAATCACAGAATCACAGAACTGTAGGGGTTGGAAGGGACCTCCAGAGATCATCGAGTCCAACCCCCCTGCCAAAGCAGGCTCCCTACAGCAGGTCGCACAGGTAGGCATCCAGGCAGGTCTTAAACATCTCCAGAGAAGGAGACTCCACCACCTCCCTGGGCAGCCTGTTCCAGTGCTCCGTCACCTCACTGTAAAGAAGTTCTTGCGCACATTTGTGCAGAACTTCCTATGCTGCAGTTTCCGGCCGTTTCCCCTCGTCCTGTCTCCACTCACCACTGAAAACAGTCTGGCCTCGCCATTTTGCCCCCCACACCTTAGATATTTATAGACCTGAAGACAGCCTCCTTGCGTAAGCAGTCTCAGGTATTAAAATTCCACCTGTCATGCAAAGACATCAACATGGGAAAAAAAAACCCAAACAACACTGCATAAACTAAACTCTCAGTTTCATGTCATTTTGGAAGTACAGACAAACCCCCTTTTCCCCAATTAAAAAAAAAAACAAAAACAAAAACACAATAAAAAACCTCTCCCTGTTTTGCCTTCTCACAGCACTTATTTTTAAAAAGGGCCAATTTGTACTCAAAAATATTCACTGGTGTATGGAAACTAGCCTGAACCTCTGATTGATCACCTGAGGTGAGCAGTGAGTCAGCCACCAAGCAAGGCAATTCACCTGTGCTGCCAGAAGGGGTGGAGCCTGGCTCCACCTTCCTAGACCCCATTTAAGAGCTGACTCCCAGTGGGGAAGGATCTCTCTGGAGATCCCTCCTCTGCAGTTTTGCAGCAAGCGCCCAGGATGTAGGTAAGCTTTCTATCTATTCTCTTTTTATTACTATAACCTGCTTTGCCTAACTCTCTAGTTTATTTCATAATTATAACATCTATATATTTATTGATTTTAAAACTGGCTTTGGAATCCAACTGGAATTTCAATGCCAGTGCTCACTGAAAATTCACTTAAAAGTGTCCCAAGGTGTATCAGCTCATCTATGTATCAGTACTCACCCATTCCCCATGAGCAGCTCATATCCACGTTCTGACTGCTCTCGTTTCCTTGCTCCTCTTTTTCATCTTCCTCATCAGAATCCTCTCCCAGCATGGTCTTTTCCAGCTTTGCTTGCTGCTGCTTCCGCAGTGCCTTCAGCTGTGTCACGGTCAGCTCTGACTCAGACTCCTGGTCCTCTTCAGGTCCCTATGTCACAAAAAACAACTTTATGAAAGTGTTTTAGATAGGAAAAAAAAAAAAACCAAAACACTTCTTTTCAATAGGCGTGTGAATTACAGGTAGTAACATAAATGGATCACAGTGCTCATGTAAAAGCTGAATTACTGGACCAATTGTTATGGATTGCATGCTCAGATATATCAATTTCAGTGGCCAAAGGGGGCAAAAAGAGATGAGCATTACTGTTTAGTTGTAGGCAGCTCAAACACAGCTTTATTTAAAGGCAGAAAGCAAGGATTTCCACCAGTGCCACAATGGAAGCATTTGAGGAACAAGCAGCTAAGTCCTCTGACCCCTACTAATACAAGCTCTCTTTTGGGCACAAGGAATCACAAAATGGTTTGGGATGGAAGGACCTCAAAGCCCGCTCATTTCCAAACCCCAGCCATGGGCAGGGCTGCTCCCACCATCACAGGTTGCACAGGGTCTCATCCAACCTGGCCTTGACACCTCCAGGGATGGGGCACTCACAGCTCCTCTGGGCAGCCTGCTCAAATTGATATGAGTGCAGTCAAACCGCCCCCCCATCTCAGAAGCGTTTCCCTCTCGCTCCAGGCCCCTGAGTGGGCACAGCCACCTGAACTGCCGCGTGTGACCGGGGGAAGCCGCCGTGCAATCTCCGATCCCCTCTCCCGGCCCACCTGCAGGAGGAAGAGGCGGGAGCTGCCGCCGAAGCGCAGTCCGTGGCCCACCCGCACACGGCAGTAGGTGCGCGGCGGCACCCGCGCCTTGTTGAGGAAGGTGCCGTGCGTGCTGCCCAGGTCGTACACGTAGAAGCCGGCATCGGCGTCGGGGCCGTCGGCGGAGCGGCCGCGGTACTGCAGCACGGCGTGGTGCCTCGACACCGACGGGTGCTCCAGGGCTAGCGCGCAGCCGGGCAGCCTTCCCACCAGGAACCAGCTGCAGCCCTCCAGCCGCACCGAGCCCAGCAGCACGCCGCCCTTCAGCACCTCCAGCCCGTAGCCGGCATCGGCGGGCGGGCGGCCGCCCCACGGCGGCTCCTCGTAGCGCGGCGCCGGCACGGAGGCGACCGGGCGGGGCGGCACGGGGCCGGGCGAGGGGCCGGGACTGGGCGCGGGGCCGGGCTCGGCGTTCTGCGGAACGGGCAGCGGGCGGCTCGGCCGCTTGAACTCGGCGGGCTCGGTCTCTGTTTCCATGGCCTCCGCCATCTTGTCTCGTCCGTCCCCAAATAGGGTCCTCCGGGCACGAGCGCCTCCGGGGCTGTGGTACCGGGCGGAGGGAAGGGCGCGGCTCTGCGGTTCGCACCGTCGCCTCGGCCACGGCTGGGGGTAGCGCGAGGGACGAGACCGGCGGGGGTGGGCGGGAGGATAACGGGGAAGGGTGGCGGCGGCCGTCGGAGCTCCTTGCGGGAGCGCGGCTGCTGCGGGGTGCCGCGTTTGGCGGCGGACCTAAGCCGAGTTCCGGTAGGGAGGAGGGGAGCGCGGTACGGCGGGGCCGAGTTTGCGGCCTTCCCCTCCGCCGAGTTTCCCGGCACCAGTCAGAGCCCTGATCGCTGTGCGGGGCTGTGGCGCAGCGCCGTTCTGCTTAAAGTCGTTCCCTCCTCGCTGCTGCTTTGCTTTCTTCTTTCCCCCTTAGGAGAAGCAGCTGTGCGATCTGTTGCACGGACTTTGCATCCTGATGCTGTCTTGAAAGCTGGGTTTCTCACGGTGACTTCGGAAGAGTGTTCTTGCCGTCGGTTATTTGCGCTGTTCCGAGGCTGGCACCAATCTGTTGCTGCCCAAAGCTGAGAGTTTCTCCCCACGGCTTGTACTGCAGTGTTTGGGAGCCTTCCCGGTGCCGTGAGGACGATCCTGTGTCACAATGCTGCGCTACTGGGGCGAGATCCCGGTGCCATCCAACCAGGCCAACCGCAGCTCTTTTGACCTGCTGCAGCGGGAGTTCCGCACGGTGGAGGTGCAGGACCCTCCTTTGCACCAGCCATCAGCCAACAAACCACGGCCCACCACCATGCTGGATGTCCCCTCCGAGCCCTGCAGCCTCACCATCCACACCATTCAGCTCATCCAGCACAACCGGCGGCTGCGCAGCCTCATCGCCATGGCCCAGGCACAAAACCAGCAGCAAGCAGAGGGCATCAAGACAGAAGACAACGAACCTCTGCCCTCTCGTCCAGCCTCGCCGCCTCTCCCCGATGACCTGCTTCCTCTGGACAGCAAGCCCCCCAAAATGCCATTCCAGCTGAGGCACAGTGACCCAGAGAGTGATTTCTACAGGTGTGTGGTATTTCCTTGGCTTCTTTCAAGTTGGAAATTATGAAAAATTTCTTCTCAGAAGGATCAGTGAAGTGTTGGAACGAGGCTGCCTAGGGAGGTGGTAGAGTCATCGCCATCCTTGGAGGTGTTGAAGAAATATGCGGATGTGGCAGTGAGGGACATGGCTCATGGGCATGGTGATGTTGGGTTGGTGGTTGGACTGGCTGACCCTAGAGGACTTTCCAACCTTAATGATTCTACGAATCCTGTCTGCAGGACAGCTGAGTGTTCTTAAATATATATGTTGTTTTGTCAATTCCCTAAGGCTGATGAATTGTATGAAAAGAATAAAATAGGCCTAGGAACAGAAAGATTGAGATGCACGCAACATACAGTTTGTTTAAAACAAATGTGTCTTTGCTTTCTGTCTATAAAATGCAGATGTGTAGTGCTGATTTCTGTCTCATTAGCACTCAGCTTAATGGTTGTTTTGCCATCTTCAATGGTATTTTGATAAAGCTAGTTATTGAATGCGAAGTCTTTTATGTTTAGGTCACTTACTATTAGACTGTCTGTATTCTGACAATTCAGAAGATACACAGCTGGGTGTTGGCCCTTTAGGTTCTGAGAATATGCTTTGTTAATTAGTAACTTGTAAGATTTCAGTGCCCAAGGATGAATGGTGTTGCCATCTCATCCTACTGTCAGTGTTTGTAGCCTGGTCAGAGATGGCAGTGAGTGCTGGTGAAGGTATTTCCTGTCTCTTCAATGCTGGTTCCACCTGCCAAGGACTTGAGGAAATAGAAAGGAAGGTTGCATTGCTCCTTTGCAACTGATCTTTGTTTACACGATATTGCCACCTCCTCCTTGCCAACCCTCTGATGAACACTACATTCACACGGAGTTGCTCCGTTTTTTGCAGGATCTCATGGTACCTCTTAGACCGTGCATTTAAATTCAGAGGTTAATCCTCACTGTTCTTAAGGCTGCTCCAATAAATGTGATATAGGAGAAAACAATATCTTTCATTTATTTTCAAATGTGGAAAACTTACATCCATGAAATATAGTTGGTTAAACGTGTCAGATCTTTTATGGCCTGGATTTTTTTATTGAAAGATGTTCCTTTTGGTAACATTGTCTCTCTGCATAGTGGAGCCAGACTTTAGTGCTGTTTTTGGAGGAACATTATGTCCTGGTTTCAGTTGGGATAACAATTTGAATATTTCAAACTTGAATTCCTGTAGTATTCCTGAGTGAATTGCCATCTGGTTCTGGTGATTTGCAACTGTTGATGTTACAGTTCTTGGAATACACAATAGGGGATTAACGTTTTATTTTGGCTGGTATAGAAACAGAAGGTAACCCTAAATTATCACCTTCATCCTTCTGGGATGAAATAAAGTGATTTGCCTGAAGGGATGAGGGGATATCCCATGTGTATAAGCTTGAGCCCTGTGCCTCCTGCTCCTTATTGCGTTACGGTTTGTAGAGCTGAAGTAGCCTTGCGTACCTTGCAGTCTTCTGTGCTGACCTTTCTAATGCCTTTCGCTGTAACTTTAAATTTTCAGTGGCCCTAACCGTGGTTTGGGGGCCGCTTTGCCCTTTTATTGTCCCTTGGGAGTCTCCGAGGTGCTGGTAAACAAATGTTATTTAACAGTCAACCACATGGGGGAGTTTAAGGACTAGATTGCAATAAGTAGATGGGCGGTTTGGAAATGGAGCACTTTGTGGCCGACTGATTTAGTGTGAGCCGTGGTACAGAGTAGAATTTAACTGTATGCCTGCTAAACCAAACACATTTCTGCTTTTCCAGGAGGCAAGCTTTTGGTTTGCTGTTGCATATTTGCTGTTTAAAGCAAATGACCTACAAGATTTGTCAGTGCTTGTTTTTAGTGGGTAAAACAATCAAGGGAGGGACCGTTCTTCTTTTTGCCAAAACATGATATTGCTTGGTTTTATGATGCCTTTTGTGTGTCATTGCCAGAGCTACAGTGTTAGACTAAATGCATATTTTAGTTTCATTTTCTTTAGTAGTAACTTTGGTCTCAGAAGTAGTGTGTAGGTATGTTTGTCCTTAGGAAGAAAGGAAGAGAGGCCAGCCTGAATTAGGCCACAAGTTTCTTTAATATAGCCGTGTTCTCTTCTATTTCCCTATTATTCATTTTTTCCTTTGAGCTCACAGCCTTGTCTTTTATTTCAACAATGTTAACCTCTTGGTTAATTTTTTTTTCTTCTTTTTTTTTTTGTAGCACATTCTGCCCCACACCGTACCTGTAATCCCTTTTTCCACATCCCTTTTGTGGTGAGGAGGAGGCAGAACCTAATTTACTGCTACTTTTCAGTTTTCTGGCCTTTTCAACCCCTTTCAGAAATCTGTGCCAGCAAGAAATTTCATTAGGACTCTGTTCATTTTCTGCATTTTTTTAGGCTGTAGATAAATATGTGGAAAAAAATATTTGACTCTGGCACAGATCCTTGAGGAATGCCCTTAGCTTTCCAATGTAGATCTCTTATATACTTGCTTGTCAATGGCTTTGGAGGGCTGTGGAAGGCTTGTGAAGCAGGTTTTCCACTTACAGGAGCTGTCTGGAGTCTTTCTGAAGGTATCCTATTTACCCATCTGTCCTCTAACTCTGTTCTTATCATTTCTGTGAATTTTCCTGATGTACCAGAATAGTACAGGCTTACCAGCCTGTAGTTTTTCATATTTTTTTTTTCCCCCTGAATACATTGAAAGAGTATTATCACATTTCCTACCTTCTGGTTCTCATGGGCCATGGCACCTTAAAGCAAGAGGTGATTCACCACAGCTATTCAGATGTTTCATCCCTGAATTCCTGTAGTATTCCTGGGTGGATTGCCATCTGGTCCTGGTGATTTGCAACTGTTGATGGAATACACGAATACACCGTTCTTGGAATACACGATAGGAGATTAACATTTGATTTTGGCTGGTATGGAAACAGATGGTAAATTCAAAGCATAGTTGATGAGGAATAAGTAAGGAACTGTAAACTTACAACTGCCATTTCAACAGGAGATTTTTACCATAATATGGCTGTTAGCACTTCCTTCCTCTCTGTTCAGCTTCCCCCTGTTAATATGGATCCATTGTCGAAAGAAGCCTAACTTACTAATTATACTGCTCTCCAGAGGATTTTGTGTGTGTGTGTGTGTGTGTACATGGTTGCTTTCTTAACGGATTTCTCTGTCATTCTCTCATGTGTGTTCCTGACCGCATCACGTTTGCGCTTTGTATTGAACTGAGAGTTGAACTGCGAGCTCGCAATGGGATGAGAGCTCATGGCAGAAGGTCTAATAGTTAAATGTTTGTACAGAAGTAGGGAAGTGCATGTTGGTGGGATAGCAGGGTTAGCGTTGAGGGGGATTTGGAGTAGTAGAAATCAGAGCAGGCAGAACATGCTTAGCCTGTTGGATAAAGCATTGCAGTTCCACCTCCTAAACTTTATGGCATTCTGCATTGTCCCACTGGGACCCAATTTATTTTCCAAATGTTAGCTATTACCTGTTGCCATTATCTACTGAACAGTTTCTGTATATACCTGGGCATCCTCCTGCAGGCAAAGCAGAGCTATTTGAAAATAGGCTTACTCAGGATGAGGCAGAAAGAAGTCCTTTCCCAAAAGGAAGCTTATTTTTCATTTTGAATTGGTGTTTTTGTTCACCAATACGCTCTGATTAGTATAATCTCTTTTTTTTCCCCCAATGTTGTCCTTACTTTATCGTGTTGGGAAAAATGGCTTGATGCACCTAATTTGGTAGAAATTCAACTCTACGATGAAATGTTTCCTAAAACTAATGTGTTCATAAGAAAACAATCCCTCCCTCCATCTGCCACTAGCTTATGCTCTCCTATGTGGGAGAAGAGCACTTCAGTCCATTACAGCAGGTGAGTAAACCTCAGCTGTTGATGTTTGTACTGCCTCAGCCCGAACACTTTCCCCGAGGTGGCGCAGCAAATGGACCATAAGCTCTCCTTTCCTTTCAGAAAAAAGTCTTTACAGGAGAGGAGCTGGGGTGAATGCACTGTGGTGCTCTGGGGGCTGGCCGTGTGTCATGTTAACTGGCTGAGGAAACGAGCCTTTTGTGAGTTCTGAAACCTTATGAATAATGAAAATGAGCCCAATTGGTGTAAACTGCTCATTTTTTCTCGTGTGTTGGTGTAAAGTTCTGCATGTTGCACATTGGTTGGTAGCAGTAGAAGAGGGCTCAGCTTTTGGACGTGATGAATTTGTTGTATCTTGGCAGGTTGATTTCTGTCTGGAATGTCATCTGGTGTTAGTGACCCATGGAAATGGTCATGGAAATTTGGGAATATGAAACTGAACAGTGAGAAGGTGGCCAGTGTTTGTGATAAGTTTCATACTGTATCCTCCATAGGGATGATCACCTCCAAGTCATAGGCCTACCTGCTGGTCTTGTTAATCTCTAGGCTTGGTTTCAGGTGGCAGCTAGATGAAGAGCCTTTTGGTAAAGCAGCAAGTACTGCAGAGAATGGCATGCTACATGGTAGTATTTGGGGAGCTGCTCGTGGAGCTGTTGGGCATCTGGATGAGATCTAAGACCAGTGCACTTTACCTGTGATGACTGGAGGAAAGAAGTTTGCTGGGAAGACTTGGCATTAGCTGTTCTCAACTTAAATGTGTCTCTATGCCTATTTCTGTTTATTTTTCATCTTATTAGATGGTACCTGCAAGTTAAAGGAGATGAAGGAAAAAAGATATTGTTGTTTTCTGTTAATGTCTATAGCAATGTTTCTTTTTTTTTTTTTTTCCTGTCTAATCAGGTTTTTAATCATCTTCCCTTTATTGTTTGCCGTGGAAAACAGGAAATCAAAGGAAGGAAAAATAAGAAAAACAAAACAAAATTGATTGACCTTAGCAAGAACAAGAAGTGGGGAGTTGGATTTGAGTACAGTACCTGAAATTTCTTTTCTCTCTGTCTTTAATTGATTAGACTTCAAGTTGATTATATCCCTTTCAGCACAGTGACCTAGCTGCATTTTAATGCTGGCAATTAGTTTCTTCTCCTCTAGGAATTTAAAAGAGCTATGACATTCTGTGCTGCTTCCTGAACAGTGATATGCATTCCTATATGCATATTCACTTCAGAATTGGCTGAATATTCTGCTTGGGCTGCCACATTCTGTGTCTAGCGCTTAAGTTTGCCCATAATGCTTTGTATGACTGACAAACCATCAGTAGCAGCTATTTGCTTCTGTATTAATTGTAAACTAGTGTTTAATGTTTTTGGTACCAGTTTTGGTACCGTTTTGGTACCAAAATCCTTTCTTAGGCGCACATTTTGATGGCTGCTTTCCAGTTGTTTTTCTTTCTTCCCCCTCCCACTCTGCCCCCCCCCTCCCTCACATCCCTTTTTTCCCTTTTTTTTTCTTTCTTTGTTGTTGTTGTTGTAACCTCCTTTTCCCAGCACTGTATGAGTTGTACAGCTCTTTGTAAGCTGCAGAAATCTGTCCCTGAGAGATGGAGGGCATAGTTAGGGAGATGTAAAAACAGCACAGATGACACTTGGTTTAGAAGGGTACTGATGAGCTTTTAATTCATTTTGTCAGAGCACCGGCTGTTTTCTTTCCTTAGTACTCACATAATTGAGTAGGAAACTGGGATGTGAGTCATTTTCCAGCAATTAATGGCTGGGATGAATCCATGACCTGAGATCCACATGCTGTTCTTAATATCCACTTAGTAATATCGGCACCTGCAGCTCTTAATATAGTGTGCTTGCCACCCCTCTGCCTCTTTACTTGAATAAGCAGAAAGTGTTGAGCTGAGCTGGTTCTTTAAAATGAACCTCTGGGCTTTGGTTCTCATAGCTCTGAGCTTAACCTCCCATTGTCAGTTCTCTGTAATGTTATCTTTTCCTACTGCTATGTTTCAGTATGGGTCAGTTCTGAGGATCAGCGGGAGCTGTGGCTCTGTGACCCAGTGTCTCAGTGAGAATGAAAGATTCTCAATGGCTTGTTGGAGAAGCAGAATAGTGAGAATTTTACCAAGACTACTGCTGCCTTCTATGTAAATCATTGGTGTTGTTTAATCAGGTCTTGTTACTGGAGAGGTTGTGTGCAAATAGTGTATGGAGAGTGAGACAAAGTCTCAGAGTGGGCTGAATGAGATGTTGGAAGAAATTGATCAGAAACAAATGAAGGGTGAAATTGCTAGCTTTCTTCAGCCATTGATTCCGAATGGAGTGGAAGAAAGTAAATAAACACCGTACTTAGCAAAAGGATACTTGATTTTTGACATCAGCAGCTGAGGATTGTTATGGGTGAATAAATGGCATACGTTTAATTGTGAGTTTAGAAATATGATAGAAGTGTGTTTACATTTCTTGTTAAAACTTCTCCTAGCTCATCTTCTTTGTTTCCTACGTGGAATATCTGTTTGTTATCACACTATGTTGAAAAATTTGGTTGCTTGACTGTAACTGAATGATTTGGGAAGTGCTCATGTCAGTTGTGCTGTCTCCTGTGTCCTACATTGTCACATATTCCTGCTTAGCAGAACAGAGAAGAGAGGTCTCAGGCCCAAGGCCAAGGAATGCTGCTTTCAGGGCAGAAGCTCTGCAGGCTTCCTGGGAGGCTTTGTGTTTACTTGCTGTGTCACAAGTTGGGATACCTAGTTCTCTGTCACGCTCTGTGATTACTGGGAGTAAGGATATGGAAGTGGCCTTTCTGGCCACAGTGTAGCTTTATGAGATGTTCCCATTTCTGACTTTTTATGTGTGTCTTGTGCATTACAAATTCAAATCTTGTCTATCCCAGAAGCCTTTGTATCTGACTATTAGGCCTATGACATCAGAGATAATAAGGAAAAGAAATGTAATTAACTGAGAGGGGAAATGATTTGCATTTGTTATTTAAAATGCCTTTCTTTGTTGTTTGTGTCAAGTACCCGTTTAATTCACCTCTCTAGGAGAAAAGCTCTTTGGTGGGAAGGGAGTTGCTTAAGGATTCAGAAGATTTGCATCCCACACTTATGAATCACCCAAGGATTCTTATGGCATTAAAAGTGAAAATGGGACTCAGTAGCACTGATTTTGTGGGAAAGGGAAGGAAAGTTGATAAACCTGTGCTAGATGTATTCTTATGTAATGGAGAAACTGTGGTGAGCTCCAAACAACTTGCTTTCCCTCTGTAGATCATATTGAAAATATGTTTTGAACTGATAAATCATTTGAGTTTTTGCAGATGTGCTCTTTTTCTCCTTTCTGCTTTTTTAGAGGAAAAGGGGAGCCCGTGACTGAGCTGAGTTGGTCCTCCTGTCGGCAGCTTCTCTACCAGTCAATGGCCACTATCCTGGCTCACACGGGCTTTGACTGTGCCAACGAGAGTGTCCTGGAGACCCTGACAGACATAGCCCACGAGTACTGCTTGAAGTTCACCAAACTGCTACGCTTTGCTGTGGATCGAGAAGCCCGACTGGGGCACACCCCTTTCCCAGACGTCATGGAGCAGGTGTTTCATGAAGTGGGCATTGGCAGCGTGCTCTCACTGCAGAAGTTCTGGCAGCACCGCATTAAGGATTATCACAGCTATATGCTTCAGGTGAGAGGAGCAGCGGTGAGTGGGCAGCATGGCTCAGTTGTTTGTTCCCTTAACATTATGGAGGTTTTCCAATTAGAAAACCTCATGGTATGGAGAAGAGTCACAAAGGAAAGGGGAAATAGGCTTTTTTGGCGGAGATGACTTATTTGTGTCCCCACAGAGGCTGAGTGCTGTGTTGATAGTTTGGGTTTAAGGGGAGGCCCCCAGCTGTGTGATGACCCAAAGTCAAAGTAAAGTCAGTAATGACAGATTAACTGAACTTTTTGCTTTAAAGGGATGTTTGGCTGCTTACCAGTTCATAAATAAAGGGAGCAAATGAGCAAAAATTACTTAGCTGTACAATGGCTTGTTTTGGCATTAGCAAGGGGTGGCTTGCTTAAGCAATTAGAGAATAAGACTAATACTGTACTGATATGAGTTATTTAACAAGATTATCTATAGGGAACTGTATTTCTGTGGTGAAAGGTGAGGAATTGTTAAATCTCCTGGGAATGAGAGGTGCCATGTAAATGTAGGTTGTATGAGTAAGGGCATAGTTTTTTTTGGTCCATATATTCTGTGGAATTGAATGTGTGTTTTATTTGAGTGACAGAAGAGCTTCAGGAATGCAAGAGTTGATGCGGGAACTTTATTCAAACTCATCAAAAACTGAGATTTGAATCAAGGAGGTGGCCTGTGACCAAAGGCAAAACCTACTACAAATCATCTTTCTCTTCCTCATTGTCATGCTGTTTGAGAGTGCTAGTTGACTCACCTTGGGGCAGCTGCTTGTGCTTCTTCCTATCCCATGGTTGTCACCTTGTGTATTACAGAGGTAGCATAAATCAGAAACACCTATAACTACATGTAGTATGTAAATTGTGATGGACTCTGGCTTGTGCATAAAAATAGCATCATCAAGATTTGTCCTCATTAAAAGTGTTTTTGTTCCAAAGGACTGATTGCATGATTGCATTAGTTAAAAGATACTCTTGTGTTGTTGGGCATTTATTTATTTATTTATTGTCCTCCCTGGTTTGAAGGGCTGTGAAGCTGCTTGTAGTTAATGTTTGCATCCTGATACCTAGATGTTGTTTCTTTCTGGAATTCAGGTTTTCTGTAGCTGATGTAATTCATCCCACAGCCATTTGTTGTCTTTCTTATTGTGGTTTTAATATAGGCTAAGGTCCATGCTAACCCTGTGTTTAGAAACTTGTCTAGAAGGGGGAAATAAGTTCTGATGTTATTTTTCTTTCTTCTTGTTTAAGAAGGCTTTGGGCTTTTCCTGAACACAGTTGACTGAACATTGGGATTCAAGTGGTACAAACCAGTACTTGTTACAAGCAGACTAAATCTGGAAGTCTTAATTTAATTGCTTACAGTTTTAACACTTCTAGAAGCAAGGAGATTGTTCCAAATCTCATTCCTGCATTTCAGTGGTCTGGAGAAAAATGTTTTTTTTTTTTTTTTTTTTTTGCTATGAATCTCATTGAGGGTAACCAGGCTTTGCTAGTGATGACTATAGAACCTAATGAATTTCTGATCTTGTTTCTTAATGCTGAAGTAAGTTTTAGTACTGATAGACAGAAAAACCTTAGAGGTACAACCGAAGAATAAAACTGAAGTACTTCTGTCTTGATTTTTTTCCTCTGCTTAAATTTCTGGGCCTCATAGTTTCTGTCTGTGAAATAAATCTGCTCGTGTATATCAAGCAGATGTGTTAAGGAATTAAGCCTTCTTTTAAAGTTCCTTGATAAGGGTAGAAGGTTTCCTTAAAGGGGGAAAGGATCTTTTTTTTTTTTTCCTGTAGCTGACGACTCTGTACTTGTTCAGCCACATCAGACAATAATACTCAAGTGGAAAGCACACTGCAATGTAACTGTCATCAAAGTCTCTGAAATCACTGTGACCTTTCCTGTCTCTCTTTTTTTTTTTTCTATCTTCCCTGATCTTTGACAGGTTAGCAAGCAGCTCTCTGAAGAGTATGAGAAGATTGTCAACCCTGAAAAGGCAGCAGAAGACACAAAGCCTGTGAAGATTAAGGAGGAGCCTGTTAGTGATATCACTTTCCCCATAAGTGAGGAGCTGGAAGGAGATCTTGCTTCTGGTGACCAGTCTTTGCCTGTTGGAGTTCTCGGAGCTCAAAGTGAGAGATTCTCTGCAAATTTGGAAGTAGAAGCTTCCCCACAGACTTCAGGTAGTTGCTTGTTGTTACTACTACAAACAGTCCCTCATCTGTTCCGTGTGATCAGGTAGTGACAGGACAAGAGGGAACAGTTTCAAACAAAAAAAAGGGGAAATTTAGATAAGATGTTAAGAGGAAATTCTTCACTAAGAGGATGGTGAGGTACTGGAACAAATTGCCTATGGGTGCTCCATTCCTGGTGGTGGTTAAGGCTGGCTTGGATGGATCTTTGAGTAACCTGGTCTAATGGAATGTGCCCTGTCTGTGGCAGGGAGTTTGGAACTAGATGATCTTTGACGTTGCTTCCAAGCCAAATCATTTCTCCTGAAGAGCACAAAATGGTTTGTTTATATGGTGCTTATTTTTAGGGGATGGTCGTTCTTGGCTTTGTTACTGGTAGCTGTGAGCACTGGAGTCTTTCTCCCAGTCTGATGTAAGGAAGACAGAAATAACCAGAGTTTTATTCTTACTCCTACTCAGGAAGAAAAGGAGTGCAGGTGTGGTCTTCTTTGTTTCTTTGTTTTAGTTTGGTTTTGTACTTTTTTTTCTGAGTAGTCTGGAATTCTTGTCCAGAGTTTCGTGTTACTGAGATGTTGAAGGCTATGTTCCTTGTGACTAAAGTCAGGACTCTGTGTAGGCACTGAATGAGTTTGGAAAATACTGATGACTCTTGTGCAGACTTCTGTATTTGGAAGACATCCTGGTAGTCACAGCCATTGCTTTATGAAAGTTTATCATTGATTTAAGTGAACTGTACTTGTGGGAGTCTCTTGTCCTCTTGCAAGTTTCTTGAAAGCCTGCTGTAGTTAGCTGCCACCACGGCAGTGAAACAATGAGTGGATTTGTTATGGAGTCTGTCCTCTGTTTCTCAAAGTCATCCCTGTGTGTTGGCACTGGAGCATGCTGGTGGCTGACACTAAACAGTCTGCTGCTGCTGTACCGTTTCTGTGTCTATATAGGCCAATTTTATTCTCTGCACCTTCTGATAGCACTGAGTTTTACAGAAAGTGAAGTCAACATTCTTTCCTCAAAAAACAAATGGTGTTTTTTTGGTGGGTTTTTTTTTTTTTTGGTAGAACCTTCTGAGCTTTACCAGTCTTTGCAATAATAAATGTTTCCCTTAAAAATCTGGTTTAAAAACAATGAAATATTAACCTTAACATATGTATTATGTATTGAGGGCAGAGTGTACCTCTCAGTTCCTTAGCTTTTTTAAAAAATAGTATATTCTGTTGAATTAAAAAAAAAAAAAAAAAAGAAACAAACAGGAGCAACAACACAGAACATCCACAGATCCATCTGTTGTGTTTCTAAAAGCTTACATTGTTTTCCATTATACTTCTGAGATGTGAAGCACTCACGTTTTTGCAGAAGAAAGAATAGCAGGTTCTTCTGGCCCATCTGGGGTTGCAAGTGTTTCATCTGAAAAGTTTGGTATAGCATCTACCACTTGAGACTCAGAGGTTAGCACGCTAGCTGTATATTAAATGTCTTTTGCCTCTCTGATACCGAATTGATGTTTTCTAATTAAGAATACAAGTGCTCTGTTCCTCTCTGAAAATCCCTCTTCACTTCACAAGGGTCTTTGGAAGTCTGTTAAGAAGTCCCAGTCTAGAAATGGGCAGGCTGGAGAGTGTAATATCACCAGATGTGAGAGAAAGCTGCTGCAATTAGGACACAATCAGCTCAAATATTCAGCGCAAGTGTGAGACCTGTAGAGAGGGCAGCAGTGCAACGGTGTCAGACGGCAGCATGTCCTTTCAGCCTTCTCTGTTCTGCATGTGTTTTTGCTTATGCCAGAGGTTACAGCTGTGGGCTAGCTGCTTAATTTCAGTGCAGCTGGAGAAATAGAGGCCAAATTGGAGATCTTGTTCCTCCACCCAGATAGACAAATGAGGATTAGCTCATTTGTAAAGTACTTGGAAGCTGAAGTGCTTTGAAGATGAAATGTGCAGTGTCACCGCTTAAGTACTGTTAGTCCTTGGTGACACTCTTGATGACAGATAGTAGAGCTGAAGGGAATAAGGTTGAGCAATGCAGAGCAATTGATGAAAGAAAGAAACAATAAGTTTAGTGAGCACCTTTGATTATAGTGCAGGCTGGAGCTGCAACTCTGTGGAAGTAACAGCATTTTAATGATGCGTCCACTGTTGTTGAGAGGAATACATTCACTTGTGGTTAACAGAAAAATAACTTTTCAATAAGGCAGCTGGACATCAGCAAGCACTTCAGCTCTGGCTCGCTGTCTGACTACTGAACTGATGCAGGTTGTGTTTTCTGCCCTTGTCACCTAAGCCCTGGTATGGGCTACATGGCTATTGAAAAGATTCCCAATCCATACATAAGAGAAAGTTCACAGTACAAACAAGTTGGAAGACTTGTTCTTGGTGTAACTAGTTGGTAGTGAGGGAATATTGATAGGCATATTTCAGTAACAGAGAATAGTAATGGTACATACGAGAGGTTTGGTTGTGATTTAAACAGTTGCAAAGCTTAATAAAACCTGGTTTCTTAGTTTGTGTTACTATCCGCATGAATTTAACCCCTCAAAAGAGGGATCAGATGTAAAGTGAGAGAAGATTTTAGGCTTTGGTAAGATTTGGGCTCATTATGTGCATGTCAGCAAGGGGCCCAATTAGTATGTTTTTAATAGGATTTTTGTCTCTTTTAAAACTTTAAATAAGAAGATATAATGCAATCTATAATTACTACTCTTGGGGACAAAGCATTTGCTGTTTTTAAGAAGCATGATTTCATAAGCTTAGAAAATCCTCAGTCTGCTCACAGTTTGCACACTAGTCCAAATGAAAAACAAAACAAACAGCAACACATTACACTAGCATGGATTGGCCTATCTTCCTCTGCAGGATGAATTAAAAATGGGAAGATTCCTTTTGAGTGTCTGTCTGGCCACCCATGTGATAAGAAGTCATTCATTGTTGCTGTCAAGTTACGTTCAAACAGGTTTTGGAGGAATTAAACATTTATGGCCTATGTTTTGAACCATACTGATGGCTTAGAAGGGGGTGGATTTATTAGTTGTTATCTGCAGTAAATGCCCTCCCTCAGATCTGTTACTCCTGTTAGAAGTTAGGAGAAAAGGGAGCATGCAAATGACACGGTGCAAAGATTTGCTTTGGATCACTAATCCAACTTTCACAAGCATCCTGAAGATGTTTGTGGTCCAAGATTTGAAAAGTTGTTACTAATTTTTTTCTTTTTTTTTTTTTTTTTTTTTTTTTTTTTTTTTTTTTTTTTTTTTTTACATTTACTATTAGGAAGCTCCACATCCATTCTGAGTTAAATAGTGCAAATCTGAGCAAGCTTGAAATACTGTAGCCTTACCATGACTAAACTATGTTACAATGGTGTTGATAAGGCTATATGCACTAAGAGTGCAGTGAGGGAGCAGGGAAGAGCAGGTTGAGTGTTAGGAAAAGTTAATTCTCTGAAAGCGTGGTCAGGCACTGCAATGGGCTGGGAGGTGGTGGAGTCACTGTCCCTGGAGGTGTTCAAGAAATGTTTAGGTGCTGTACTGAGGGACGTGGCTTAGTGGGGAGATATTGGTGATAGGTGGACGGTTGGAGTGGATGATCTTGGAGATCTTTTTCAACCATGGTGATTCTATGATTCTATGGTAGGAATCCAAGGAAGATTCTGCAAGTTAATTTAGATAAAATATTCAATGATTTTTTCTGTGTTTTAATGGAATTGTTTTAATCAGCCATTTAAAAAAAATCCATATGATTCCCTGGACTGTTTAACTTCCTTCTTTGTAAAATGACCTGGGACTCACCATGTACCTGTTTCCAGTCTCCAGCCTCCTTGCACAGATTTCCCCTATCTGAGAACAGCCGGGGTTTACCTTGACAGAATGGGAGGCAGTGAAAAGCAGTGCTTCCTATCAGCAGCTCCAGAGCCACAGCAGGACACACGGCTTTCACCCCTCTTGGTCCCTGGGTTGATGGCCGTCCCTGGCTGAAGCCATGTAGGCCTGGCTGCTGCTTGCAAGGAGGGGCCTGCATTGATTCTGATAACTGGATACAGGGCATGAGAAAACTGCACAAGGCTGTGTCAGGGGAGGTTCAGACAGGGTAATTGTTTTTACCATGAGAGTGGTCACATTCTGGAACAGACTTCCAAAAGAGGTGGCTGATGCTCAGTGCCTGTCAGTGTTCAGGGGTTGTTTGGATAATGTCCTCATTAATATACTTCAACTTTTAGCTAGCCGTGAAGAGGTCAAGTGGTTGGATCAGATGATCTTTAAAGGTCCCTTACAACCATTCTGTTCCATTCTAAGTCCTACTTGTACAGTGTATAGTCTATGTGCTGTTGGCATACTCATTGCTGCTGAGACACTCCTTCCTTGTTATTTCTAAGTTGTTATTTCTCATGAAAGAAGCCACACAGTGAATAGCATTGTATTTGCTCTGAAAGCATAGCATCATATTTTTTAGAGCTGGGATTACTGGGCTATTAAAAAAAAAAAACAAACAACAAGCTAACAGATTTTTTTTTTTTAATTTACTGTTTCACAAAAAAAAAAAAGCTGACAGATTTTTTTTTTCAATTTATTCTTTCACACTGGTTGGTTATTCTCCAGATAATTTCAGCTGTAGGTTTGCTTTTACTTCTTCACTGGTGCCACTGTGCCTTGCATCGGCTTACTGTTTGTAGTTTATTTTTTCACTTGGTTGTTAATGTATGCTTTTTCTTTCTCCAGGGGCTGAGGTAAATGCTTCCCCACTCTGGAACTTGGCACAGGTGAAAATGGAGCCACAGGAAAATGAGGAGGCCAATGTACATGGCCATGGAGTCCTAGGCAGTGATGTCTTTGAGGAGCCTATGTCAGGCATGAGCGAAGCTGGGATAGCACAGAGTCCCAATGGTTCTGAGAGCAGCTATGGTTCTCATTCTGCTGACAGTCTGATGGGATCCTCACCTGTCTTCAACCAGCGCTGCAAGAAAAAGATGAAGAAGATGTGAAGAGAGGGGGCCTTTTTATTTAGTTCTGATGGACTTGAAACAAACCAAGAGAGTTCTATGATGGCTGTGATGTATAAATGGGGCTGGCCCTGGTGTATGAGGAGGCTTGCATGAAATTGTTATGAGAGATTTGATGTGTAGTGCACTTCATCTCCCCTCATAGCTGGCTTCTGTGCTCCATCCTGCCTGACTCATGAGACTGAAGACAACTGGATGCATTTGATGGTGTCATGGCTTGCTTTGGCAGACTAATGAGGAAGTAACAAGTGGAAAACAGCCGTGAGGAGATTTGTTAAGTCACAGAATCATTGAATAATTTGGGTTGGAGCTTTCTAGTCCAGCCAAGGCAAATAGAACAGGTTTTCCAGGGCCTTGTCTCGTTGAGTTTTGAATATCTGCAAGAATGGTGAGTGAAAAAAGATGGTGAATGCTCTCTTGGCAACATTTGCCAGCATTTGACTACCCTCATAGGAAAAAGATTATTCTTACATCCGCTGGAATTTTCATGTTTCAACTTGTGTTCATTGTTTCATTTTCTATCACTGTTCATCTCTGAGTTCCGTCTGACTTTGTCTTCTCTAATCTGCATATGAAGTGGTTGTAGACAATGAGATCTCTCCTTAGCTTTTCCTCTTCTTATATCTGTAAAAACCAAGCTCCCTCAGCCTCTCCTTGCCTTGTGCTACAGTCCCCTACCCATCTCAGTGACTTTCCAACAAAATTGCTGCAGTGCCCTTATTGTAATAGGAACCGTGGAAGTGGATAACATCCTCCAGATAAGGTCTCACAAATACAATATAGAGAGAAATAATAATTTCAACATTCTGGCCACACAACTGCCAACTGTTGCAGGCAGCAAGACAGTCTCAAGTTGAGTAATTTTACTGGGGGAGAGCCTTCACTGATGATGATGGTCTAGCAAAGATGCTGGAGTGTGGCCTTACGGTGCCATCAGCTAGCTCCTTTGGTGCCTTCAGGTCCATCTTGTCTGTTTACATGGACTTGAGAACATCTAGCTGGCTGAAGTTCCTGCTAACTCATTCTTCCTTTGCTCTACATAATACCTTGTCCCCTTGCACTCTTCTAGTAGACCCAGGGGGGCAGACCTAAATAGTGAAAATGTATACTTGTGTTGAGTACATCAGTCTCAAATTGCAGCCTTTGTTTCCAGGTTGTCGAACAGCAAACCTGCATTTTCTTCAACCTTTCTTTTGCTTCCGTTGCACGTAGAAAAGCCCTTCTTCATATTTCTGTGTGTTTCAACTCCAGCTGAACTTTGCCTTCCCTAATTCTCTCCCTTCATGCTTGGACTGTGTCTTTACATCCCTCCTGGCCAGCCTATTCTCATTCCCATTTCTGTGTACATTTCTGTGTACATTTCTGTGTACATTTCTGTGTAC